GACCCTGAAAAAATTTCAGTCTTTCAGAAAGCTGGGCTGCCAAGAAAATGAATACTGACTGTGCTGAAGGCAAAATTAGCAACCAGTCCACAGGGGGATATGAGGTGCGGCAGCCCCTCCTTCACTGCCCCAAAAGACAGCGCAATGCACATGCAGCAGAGATGCTGTACATGGCTCAGTACCAGCTTAACTTGCCAATTTGATGATTACATAGCATTTACTTACTACTCTGATGTTATTAAATACCCCCAGCTGTATTCAAAACAGATAAAGTGAAATTGAATTCTAGATGCATTTTTTGAATTAGTGTTTTGCTTTTCCTTCCCATGATTATGTAAAATTTGTCCCTGTTGTATACATTTGAAAGTCCTGTTGTCATCCTATTATTGAATTAGGATACCATTGATATTCTCCTTTTGCTTTTTCTTTCAAAACTTTCAGTTTCCTTTCAGTCAGAAATAAACTCTGCCAGCTTGCCTAGCTTTGTCCTCTTTAGCCTGATGCAGTTATTATCTTAACTTCCAACAGCTTACACAGTGAATTACTTCCTATGCTGACTCGCCTTCTCTTACAAAGCCTCATTGTCCAAAATGCATTCATTCTCCTTGTTGATGTACACTGAGGTGCTGCAGTCATTTAAAACTAAGTTTCTTCAGTAGCTTTGATCTTTCTCACAGCATGACTCATGATTTAGATCTCAGGCATCTAAAACACTCTATAATCTCTCCTAAATGCCCTCAACAATTTTTATGCCTTTCTGAAGATAAATCTGAAACAAATTCCTTTTCCATGAGATAGCATCTAACTATGGTCTTCCTGGAAACCTTTTCCACTTGTGATGCTTATTTTAAAATGTAATATGGTATTTCCCCTTTCTCACAATGGCATTCTTCAAAAGTCTCCAGAGCACGGGTATACTTTTTGCTCACTCAGTGAATTAGAATTTGTTTTATTTATCACCTAATGTTCAGCCCTGCTTTCACACAAAGGAAAAAGGTTATAATTCAATTTTAACATCCAAAATTATTTTAGCTTAAAAAATTTCATGACTTACAGAAACTCAACAATTGGTTTTATGAGTAAAAAATAAGAAAGGAATGAAACCCTCCAGAGAATCCAAATCAATTTTAAAGCAAGCACAGTCTACCAAATGCGGGCTTCACTTCCTCCCTTAGTGGCCTATGTATCACATTATCCCTCTGCTAATAGCACAGTAAAATATCAAATATCAGCATTGTGTTAAAAGGGCTCCACAGTGGCCTCTGGCATTCTTCATTTAAATGAGAATATTTATCCAGCATTGGGCAAATAAGCTCTGTGAACAAAAGGAATGACAAGGCTCCAGTAACAGATAATAGAACAACCTTTCAGGAAGAACGTGGGAAGGAAGCATCACAGCAGATGCAGACTAGAGCAGAAAATGTGCCCAGCAGAAGGCCTGCTGAATTGATTCAACAGTGAAAGAGATACCAAGAGCTCTGGAGGTAAACTCCCTCCCTCCCAGCTTTTGCCACAGTGGTGTTTGCTAGAATCAGCTCTGATTTAAACCAAGGTGGCAAATATTTTCCAAACTCACGCTTTGGTATTTCAGCGCTAAAACCAGAAAAAAACCAACCTGCTTTAAGGAGTCTTATTCTATGAATCAGACAATCAGACATAATCCAAACAGTGGTATGCATTTTTCCAAGATGCTGCATTTCTTTAATTGTTCTGTTCCACAAAATATGCAGCAGCATTGTTTTCATGAAAAAGTAGATGCAGCAGGTAGGGCAACAAAAGATGGAAACAATAAATGAAATATTGAATACTCTGATGCAGGTCGTTTTTTCTGCTCCAAATGATATAACATGCAATGTGTTCTGCAAATAGCTTTCCAATAGCTGAGGAAATTTTATGACAAAATCAAGTCTGTCCTACTGCTACGAAGACTGAAAACTGTCTAGAGTACCAGTATATTTTTTGATATACCAATTTAATTTTATGAAGTGGCTGTGCATAACAGCCATTATTTTCTTCATTTAAAGTTAACAATCTGAATAGTAGGTGAACTGTAATACAGAAACAATGTCAATAACCAGCCGCCACTTTATTGACAAGTTCTTTTCATGTATTTCCTATGAAGGTGGTCTGACTTTAGGCTCTAAAATTCTGGAGTATAAGCAATCTGAAACGGCATTTACAAATTCTACAGTACTCTCTCTGGGCTGTAGCATGTGCATGTATCGCTGCTGCTATTTTGTTTCAAAAAGAGGCAAAGAATCCGTCAACTCAACTGAGCAACAGAATTGTCTCTCACAAACCAGCATGAAGCCAGTTTCTCTCAATGTGCACTCAGAAACTGTGGGCCACTACCAGAACATGTCCTGCTGTCACACAGGAGCTCACTGGCTCCGTGGTTAGTGCACACATGAGGATAAGCACTTCAGTTTCTTCATTTGAACATCCTACAGTTTCAAGAAAAGGGGAAATTTTGTAATAGAAGAAGTGGAGCTCTACCTGTTGGGTTCTTTTCCTTCCTACTACCCTGCTATTTTTTATTTGCCTTCCATACATTTATGTCCCTTGAGTGGCCTTTTGGAGTCAAATTTACACTTCAACATGGCTTTCCCTGTTCTTTTGCAAGCTAGAAATTGTAACTATCCACCAGACAGTTCTCAGTCCTCCTGTAGGGGATGATTCATTAGGAAGGACACTCCATCAGCTGCATACCCACAGAAGCTTGTTGCACCCAGCATTTTTTAAATATAGCCACAGCATACTTGTATCATCTGCCTTACTTCAACACTGAATTTGAAAAATAGCAAGATTTGTTTATCCAGGCTGATGATTCTTTTCCCAGTAGAATACCTACGTGCAACTTCAGGTTTCCAAGTCTCAGTACAGACTTCAGAAGACTCACAGAAATTAATCCTCTTCTGTGAGTTTGTAATTCTCATGGGCAATTAAAGAAAGGAAATTAAATGTGAAAAGTCTATATATGTCACCTGGAAGCTTTGCTTCCACATGCTTGTTTTTCCATTTTACAGCACTATACAGGCACTGCTTAGCACCAAGGGTGAGCAAGCAAGAAACAAGCAAATCCTGAACTCTTTGCTCTGTTTCTTTATCACCAAAGATAATGATATTTTTTCCACTTAATTGGAGCACAGTCAGACCATTAATTCTTAATGAGCAAAGCCACCATTTATTTAACTACAAATATTACTGAGGAAAACAAAAACATTATCTCGTTCCTGTGTTAATGATAAGCAAAGCAGCCAGTTTAATGCCACTGGCACTCACTGCAACTTAATGTTTTGTTGACATGACTATTGGTGTGGTACTCTGCAAAGAAGTGTTTTGTAGACATGCAAATGAAACAAATGGTAGAGCTGAAAAATCTCAGTTTCATTCAGAAAGGAAAGAATTTGCATATAAATGATCAAAGTGGAAATATAATTGGTTACTTATCTTTTATGCTTCAAATATTAGTGATTTATAAATACACAAAGAATGTTGTAGTGTGTGCTAGCTTTAGTCCTTCAGTGCTGAAACATCTCAATCAGAAGTCTGAAAACTAAGGTGGGGATGGCCACATCTAGCATTTGCCATTTTACCAAGAATGGGGGCAATGAGGATTTGATGGAAAGGTAAATGCTTCCCATTAAATGATTTTGTGGGCCACTCACCCACTCTGCAGTCACAAATAATTTAAACCTGATCTAAAAACAGTAAAGACTGGAGCTGGCAGCTAGTAACAAAGAAAGTATCATCTTCTCTTTCAAAGTTGGTATCTTGGTCCATTTCCTCACACAGAAGAACACTCATTATCAAATCTGCTCTGGAAAATAGTATTTGACATAGAAGGTGGACAACTTGAACACTCAACCTACAATTACACTGATTCCCTCTCCTCATAAAGTATTAGAAATTGCACAAGTGAGTTCAAATCCTGATTATGACCTTTTTCACCCCCTCAGTACATTAGCATCCCACTGCAGGGCATGTTCTGAAACACACAGTGCTATGGATCAAGTGACCATACAGCGTGTTAATGGATGAAGTACACACAACAGGGAAGTGTTCAAGGAGACAGAGGGAGAATGCAACTGATGCTGCCCTGGGCCACACTTCCCCTGGGGCTGAGTACTGCTCAATAGCTCTGGTGTGCCCTCCCTGCACAGGCACATCATCATTCCAGCTCACACCAAGCTGCCTTGCACCTGAGACAGCCTCAAGAACTACAGACAAAAAAAGAACATTAAACCTCTTTTACTTACAAAGCACATTCAGGATACAGAATCTGTCTCTCACCCAGAGACATTCAGGGTACGTGTTCTTGTGTCAAATTTTTGACCCAAACAAAAATTACATGAACATATTGAGTGCACCATTCCCCTAATTTCACCTCCTAGAATTACAGAAATATGGCCCAACTTGCACAGAAGTTCTGAGAACTAGTCACACTGTAAAAACAGTTTGCACCACAAATCCATATTACTCTCTACTGCAGGGTTAACAGACCTATGTCAAGAGTGCTTAGAAGCTTTCTTTCCCTTTTTAAAATCAGGTGAAACACACCACAGATGGGAAACTCCACAGAAACCTCCTTCCACAGTACATTAGAAAAAGAATAGGCAAAAAAGGTATTTTTTTCTAAAACTAATGCAATTTGTTTGTTAATAAAAAGTAACCTCTGTCAGAGGCATTTAAGCAAGCATGATGGTGAAATTGAGATTAATACTTTGGTAAGACTTACTGCCAGTTTAATACCTATAATGAAAAGTAATCAAGTGAACTAGGCATGTTGCTATGCCTTTTTTTCTTTTAAAACCCCATTAAATATTGATAAGAACTTATGATCCTTACCAATGCTAGTAGCAAAGCATTTTATGAATGCAAATTAAATTTTAATTTTCTCTCCTTGTGAACACTGACTTTATTCCTGAGCTTTATAATGTACCTGTACAAGACTTCAAGTCTGTGACATGTTATGAAAGCATAATAATATAAGTGCCTACCTTTTTCAGGAACCGTACTCCATAGGTAAATATATAAAGGTAAAATGTAAATCTCCACCTGCAAAAGGCACAAGAGATTAACTCTAGGATACCAGGTTTACATATTTTACAGTTCAACACATGACTTCTTATTTCACCACCAAACCACCACACCCTGGTTAAATTAACAGAAGTTGAAAGAGAATTTTGGTCTGGTTTTCTACAACTTCTGTTATCAAGCATTGTGCTCATTTGCCTGCTTTTCCTGGCCTCTTATTAGCTCTCTGAAAATATTTGCTAATTTTATCTAAACAGGGGAAGAAAATCCTCACACATTTTCGAGGATATTAAGTTTTTAAAAGTTTAATGAAAACTAGCAGGACATTGGAGGAGAGAGGACAATTTACCCATCTGTTGCAGGAAAGTTCATCTCTTGTTAGACACCAGGAAAAAGATAATAAGAAATTTTATTAAGACTTCAACAGGTGACTTGGGAGTACTGCATGTCAAATAGACTCTTTAGAAATGAAAAGTGTCATTCATTCAATGAGCTGGAAATTCACTTGGCAGATTGCAGCACTCCACATGTGGTTTTAGGGAGTGCATTTAGGACAGATTGATATGCTGGATACAGATACATATCCATAATTTACATCCACTTCCCATGCATCCCTTGATAAAAATTATCTACATTTTCCCAAATGTACTCAGAATAATTGCAGAGCTTCTGTTTTTTCTTTTCAGATAGAGGCAAACTAGAAGTTAAGAACAGGATTCCATGGAAAATAAGAGAAAACACCAGGAGATTTAATACAAAATCATCCTCACCTCTGTCTTTCTCCAGTCTTCAAGAAAAGAAGACAGAGAGAGCAACTGCCTATCTCTTGGACCCATTACTCATTTATGAAAGAACTACTGGAAGTCTAAGGAAATAAAATCATAACCTTGTGCAGTATAAATTCTTAGAAGAATTCCTCGTTTGTTTTTTTTTCCCAAGGGTTGGACTGACTACACAAACATGCTTAATATAAACACCAGAGAAGTAATAATCATAATGTTTATAGCAGGATGAGATTTAGCTACCTTAGTGTGAAGCAATGCTGCAACATGAATCATCTTCAGTGACACATTTTACAGCACTTACAACTTTCTCTGCACTGGCAAAACTATTAGCTTCCAGTTAATTGGCACTGGAGTGCTTTCAAACATTACTGGAATTATTACAAAACTGAAAATGTTCCTATGTTAAAGGTTAATCCATACCTTTATCTTCAAAACTACTTTTACAAGTATTTAGAAAGACAGTTGTGTCATACATAAATAACCCTCTGCCAATCTGAGGAGAGTGTAAGAACATCAATGAGATTTAAAGTGCTATACTTCAGCTGAAAAGAATCTCTATTTTACACTGTAGTCCCATAGCATGGAAGAAATAGATTTATTAAACTGATATGAGAGAAACAGCAAACCCTTCAAGGGTTTGGGCACTGTACTAACATGGCACACTGTTTTCACACTGGCACTTGGAAGACACTGTGAACATAGAGTACTTGGACAGAATGTATGTGAGAAATACCTTTCATACACTGCAGATATGTCCAAGCAAGATCCCTCCAAAGGTGAACTCTCCAACCAATTCTCTTGCAACAAGTACTCTAATATGAATGATGGATTTCAATCTACAGTACATATTTCTTTATGCCTCTATGTGGGTCTCACTGAAGCCCACTGATGAGGAAATGCAAATAAAGGGAAAATGTTATGACCTGTAATCACAGCTATTCACAGTTCAGCCCAGTGTCAAAAACATCTCTGCATTTGAGAACTTGGGCAAAATGTTTTTTCTGTCTGCACAGGACATCATGGAAGAGAAGGACACCCTTCTTAGTGTGTGGTTATTGAGTTTTATTCTAACTGAATTTACAAAGTGGTGGTTGATGAAGCGCTGTCTCAAACTTGTCCTAGGTAACAGTCCCAAATCTAATGTTGGAAAGTGCCTCTAGCCAAAGACAGTCTGAATAGTTACAGAACCCAAGAAAGGGAAGATGTCCTAGGTGCCTCCTAGGACACTTTCTAATATCCTGTTTAAGCATCAGCAGCTCATGCTGAGTGTCCACATGTCACTGGATACTGTTGTTGTTTGGTCACAGCTGGTTGTCTTCAGAAGACAAAGCAACTTCTTCTAAGGCAGCAGCAGCAGAGCCCAAGAGAACAGGAAAAGCAAGGCAAGATGCATACTAAAATATCTCTTGTTCCCCTTTTCCCCCAGCAATATTCTCTGCCCTATTAAAGACATACAGAGGAGGCCACAAGGTAAAGCACTCCATCATGGGCCACTGCCACATCAATTCATGCTTAACCGAAAGATGAAAACAGCTGAAGCTTCCCTGTTATGTGAGAATTTACTCTGTCCCTCAGACTTCAAACATTGCTTTGCTCAGTTGTATAGAGACAAAATCTGAATTACCCATTTACACACAAAGTGTGCTGCTTGAAAGGCTGAAGTTAGTTTGAATCCAGCAAACCTAGATGAAAGCACTCAAGGCACAAGAGCTCTGAAAGACCTGATCTGTCTGCTCACAATAACGTTTATGAGGTTCACTTTAGTCCTCCACTATAAGACTTCCAAACTGAACCAGGCTTGCATCTGAATAAGGGAGATCAAATGGACTTATGGACCTTCCAGCAAATTCTTCAGGTTGTGCTGTTGCTTGCCAGGCCAGTGCTTCAAACATGAATGTGACACACTGCAGCAAAAAAGTCAAGCTGAAGAGTGACTCTGCCATAACAGAAAAATAAATTATTTTCTAATGTAGTCTTAAAAAGAACACTGCAGAGTCCTCAAAGGTGCACAAGCAGATCTGACTGCTCCTGTTCTACATTTGAATGCATTCCCAGTCCACAGCAGTCTCAACCCCTTTAACTTTGAGCTGCTAATGAAATTTTAAAGATGCTTCAGCATGACACAGAACATCATCTAAAAAGATGGAAAAGTTGGAGAGCCTCCACCAACTAACCTGATATACCCCATGGTATGCTCAATTCAGCAAAAACTATTTAAAGTGCCCACTTGAGCAAGCACTTCACCAATTTCAAGCTTATGTCTTGTCAGGTTCCCTTCATCACACCAATGAAATTTTGTCCTTTAAATTTTCCTCTGAATTTTTGCTCTGAAATATGAAATTAAACTTTGGCTAACAAAAAAAAAAAAAAAAGTTCAATCAGTGGTCAAACAAAGCACTCCCCCACTCCCCTACTCCATACTTTTTGCAGAGCACATGTCTGGGCTGAGTGAGCTCAGCATGGGAGCCTCCCTAAGAAAAATGGACACTTCTCCCTAGGGGAAGGGTGAAGAGGCACAAGGCCTCTCTGCTCCTGGAGTTTTTCCTTTTTTCCATTTTTTTTTGCAGGAAGACTGAGTGGCCAGGCTGTGCACACTGGTGCTGCTGCAGAACTCTGCGGCACCCAGCTCGTAGTGCACAGTGCTTATGGCTCTGGTGCCAAACCAGTGCCTGCCGCTCAGCAAGGATCCAAAGCTATCCAACTGCTGACAACAAAACACCAAACATAGTAAATACAGGATGTTAAAAACATAAAACCCATTATTCTTGCAGAGTTGTAGCTGTTATTTACAGAGATGCCTTTGCCGCTGGTTTGCTACAGACAGAGCCACAAACAGCAATGTAAGAATGCCACACTTCAAAACAGTTAACCTTAAAAATACCTCATTGTTATTTAGCAACTAGTCATAAGCTCACCACATTGTCTGCAGTTGAAGAAACTGGCTCTCTGGCTCTGAAAACTATTTTCAGAGAAAATGCAGATGCCTAAAGTTTTTCCATGGAAATACACTTCCATGTGTGAATGTGAGATTGCAGTAAAACGTTAAGATTTGCTGTTCTCCATCATCCCCTGCTCACCTTCTGGCAGTGGCTGACACACCTCTGTGCTCAGGCTTTGGACTGAAAGTCAAACTGAGCTTCATGCAATCTCCACAGTTGCAGGTCTTGGTTCTGGAGATGAGAAGGCTTGAAGTACCATTATACAGCTTGTTCTCCCATTTCAATCCCCACAATCTGAATGGGCTGCACAAACATGTAGCAGGGCTATGGAAACATTAGCTGGGGCTGAAAACTATGTTTTGCTGCAATGGTTTCCTTTGGTTGTGAAAATTTTATTCACTGTGAGAGTGCTCAAAGCAGCATTTCTGAGGCTGAGCTTAAGCAGTATTCAGTGTTTATTTCTTTTAAATGAGAAGCACCACTAAGTTCCACACATGCCCACTGTTACTTAAAGCAGTCTGTTTTATCCTCAAATTGCATTTTTCTGCTCTCCCAACTACAGTATGACAGCCTTCAACTTCACTCAAGAAGACTTAATCCAATTAATGTTGCTTCTGACATAGCCAGAGGTTTACATTCCTTCTAGATGACTACCTCTAAAGACAAATATTTAGAGGATCATCCTAAAAAAAATGGACTCTGAACCTCTGGATCAACTTCTCAATATTTGTGACATTGTCCACCTACGTATTACTCCAACTTTAAGTTAAAACCAAAACTAAACACAACAAACAGTAACCCTTCTCCCTAAACCAACAAAAAATTTCCCTAAAGACACTATTTTTTAGGCAACAAATTATGTAAAAATACAAGACAGAGCACTGAAAAATAATGCTTAATCCATCCAATACATAGGAGGTCAAACAGTAGACTCCACTAAATCTTTACTTATCTTCAATCCTGATACCTATTCTAATACAAAGCTGCAAGTATGACTGCATGGTTGATGGAAGAAGCTCCACTGTTCCAATTTCCTGCCTTCCCAGATTTCTTTAAAGATAATTTGCTGCATCTCCACAAAGCCTGACAGATGCAAGCAGATATAAAAAATGTTAATTAAAAATAATACATAGGTAAATAAATGAATTAATAAAATCTTCTTGCCTCTTTTGGCATGGAGTCAGCCTGGACCATGCAAATGGTAAATAGTTCCTGCACTGTGGTTAAGCAGATGTTTTATGAGGAAGAAGGCAGTTATGCACAACTCACTAAGATGTGCAAAATATCAGGCATGATA